GCCACAGGCAAAATTCTTTGATGGGAGCTTTCGGCTGTCACTTCCCGAGTTTAACAAACCCAAAGAATAAATATCTCCAAACAAGGCAGTTTACATAGATTTAAAAAGTTTCGAAGGCATTCATTTGCGTCTGACTTATCCCAGAGAGTGGTACCTGGCACTTTGGTGGCTTTCAGAAGAACCACACACGTTCTTGGGAATGCAAGGCATGGCTCGTCATCTTATTGTAGCATACAGAATGCTGGAAAAAATTGGCAGATCCCACGTACGGTGGAAATCAACGATATGCGAAGCACGAATGAGGAAGGTTGATACGCCACTTTCAAATCATCACATCTTTACTAGCTCAATGTAAATTATGCTTCACACGACTCCCAAGTCATGATTATTATGTTCGGGTGTGTCGTTTCTCTTCGTCATCTATTCACGTCACGTGACGCCAAGTTTAGTAGATGTGGAGCTAGCGAAGCAACCATGAGCACGCTATGAGCGTGGTGTGTTGTAGTGTTCTTACATGACACACGTCTGACGATTATCATGTTTGCACCAGTAATAGACTTTCTTCGTCCATTGACGTCATATAACACCAAATTTGGTATATGTGGAGCTAGCGAAACAGCCTCGAGTGAATCATGAAGGGTCCAGTATACACCTACGTAACATTGATAGCGACGCTACGTTAGCAAAACGCAAGCACTATATAGTCTGACGCCAAGCACCACCGGCGCGACCAGCGTTCATCGGCGCCGCCCAATGACAACCTGGGCTATATGCGACATGCTGCATTTGGTGCGAATGCGTTACCATGGCAGCACTGCGTCTGCCTCTTTTCGAGGAGGAGGGACGTCGGAGGGTCTCAAACGCGCATGCGTCAAAGCAACGCAGCGCGCGCCTGCGAGTATGTGGCAGGACCAGCACCTGGCATGGCAACGCCGGCGCGACGCGACAAAACGAACGCCGGCAAGCACGCGCACCGGTGCCTTCGCCGTGACTTGATGTCATGTTCCCACACGACAAGCATCTCATGATTACCATGTTTGCACCAGTCACATACCTTCATCATCCATTGGCGTCACGTAATACTAGATTTCACGTAATGATAGAAGAAGTCAGAAAAGCTTTGGAGAGCATGCAAAGGGGCAAAACTGCTGGTGAGGATCAGGTAACATCACTTCTGCTGAAAGATGGAGCACAGATTGTGTTAGAAAAAATAGCCACCCAGTTTACGAGGTGTCTCCTTACGGGAAGGGTACCAGAGTCTTGGAAGAACGCTAACATCATCTTAATACATAAGAAAGGAGATGACAAGGACTTGAAGAATTACAGGCCGATCAGCTTGCTCTCTGTAGTATACAAGCTATTTACAAAGGTAATTGCTAACAGAGTAAAGAAAACAGTAGAATTCAATCAACCAAAAGTACAAGCAGGATTTTGAACAGGCTACTCAACAATTGACCCTATTCATACTATTAATCAGGTAATAGAGAAATGCTCAGAGTATAACCAACCACTATGCATAGCCTTCATAGATTACGAGAAGGCGTTTGATTCAGTAGAATTATCAATTATCAGCCGTCATGCAGACACTGCGGAATCCGGGCGTAGATGAAGTATATATAAACATTCTAGAAGAAACCTTCAGGGGATCAACTGCTACCATAGTGCTTCATAAAGAAAGCAACAGAATACCAATCAAGAAGGGTGTAAGGCAGGGGGACACAATCTCGCCAATGCTATTTACCGCGTGCTTACACGAGGTTTTCAGAAGCCTAGAATGGGAACAGTTAGAGATAAGAGTTAATGGAGAATACCTTAGTAACCTGCGCTTCGCCGATGACATTGCATTGCTGAGTAACTCAGGGGACGAATTGCAACTCATGATTACGGAGTTAGACAAGGAGAGCAGAAAGGTGGGTCTTAAAATTAATCAGCAGAAAACCAAAGTAATGTACAACAACCTCGGCAAGGAGCAGCGCTTCGAGATAGGTAATAGTGCACTTGAAGTTGTAAAAGACTATGTCTACTTAGGGCAGGTAATAACCGCAGAGCCTAACCACGAGACTGCAGTAACTAGAAGAATAAGAATGGGGTGGAGAACATTCAGCAAGCACTCTCAAATTATGACAGGTAGATTGCCACTATCCTTCAAGAGGAAGGTATATAACAGCTGTATCTTGCCGGTACTTAGCTACGGAGCAGAAACCTGGAGACTTACAAAGAGGATTTAGCTTAAATTGAGGACGACGCAGCGAGCATTGGAAAGAAAAATGGTAGGTGTAACCTTAAGGGACAAGAAGAGAGCAGAGTGGATTAGGGAACAAACGGGGGTTAAGGATATCATAGCTGAAATCAAGTAGAAGAAATGGACATGGGCAGGGCACGTAGCGCGTAGACAGGATAACCGCTCGTCATTAAGGGTAACTGACTGGATTCCCAGAGAAGGGAAGCGAGTTAGGGGGAGACAAAAGGTTAGGTGGGCAGATGAGATTAACAAGTTTGCGGGTATAAATTGGCAGCAGCAAGCACCAGACCGGGTTAACTGGCGGAACATGGGAGAGGCCTTTGTCCTGCAGTGGACGTAGTCAGGCTGATGATGATGATGATGATGATGAATACTAGATTTCGAATATGTGAAGGTAGTGAAACGGCCCCGAGCGTATCATAAATGTGGCATGTAGTCATGTTGTTACATGACACCAATGTCGTGATTATCATGTTTGGATGTGTCATTTACCTATGTCGTCCATTCGCGTCATGAAATAGCAAATTTGGTATATCTGAAGCTACCAAAACAGCCGCGAGCAGATCATGAGCGTAACGTGTAGTCATCTTGTTACATGACACGCATCTCATGTTTATCATGTTTGCACCAGTCTCATACGTTCGTCATCCATTCACGTCCTGTAGTACCAAATGTCGTATAATTGAAGCTAGCCAAACGGCCAACAGCGCATCATGAGCGTGGCATGTAGTCTCGTTGTTACATGACGCATATTATGATTGTCATGTTTGCGCCAGTCAGATACCTTCGTCATTCATTCAAATACCGTAATACCAAATTTGGTATATGTCACGCTAGCGAAATTGCCGTGAGCGCATCATGAGCGTGGCATGTAGTCATGTTGTTACAATAAATGCATGTCATGGTTTTCATGTTAGGGTCTGTCATTTGTGTTCGCCATGCAATCATGTCATACCATAACACTGTTGCAACATGTCCTGTGAACGAAACCACCGCAAGTGCAGCAACACAATGAAATGTAAGTTATGACATTCATGACATACAAGTCATGATTCTCATGTTATGACTAGTCAAATATGCTTGTCTTATAGTCATGTTATGTTATACCAAGTTTGATGTCGATATTATTATCCAAACGGCCAGGAGAGCTAAAAGTCGTAGGCGTGTAGATAGATAGATAGATAGATAGATAGATAGATAGATAGATAGATAGAAAGATAGATAGATAGATAGATAGATACATACGCTGAATGTCGCTGAAGCTCGCTGATAAATGCTTCGAATTTATCAACAAATTCTTGGTCTCGCAGGGGTGTCATTCCTAGACGGTCGGGTGCTTTCTTTGCTGCATTCTTCAAAAAGCTTCCGCAAGCAAACGTCCTTCTTCCGCGAAGCGTCAATGAGGTATCAACCCTGTTCCAGTAGTGATAATGCGAGCAATGGTCCCACTGGACTTCCAAGCTGGCTACGACACTGGTTCTCAACGTATTGGCGTCAAGGTATATGCGAAGAACAATAATGGTGTCATAATTTTGAAGGTTGAGAATTTAAGACTTTAGATCTGACAGTGGGAATCAAGGAAGAAAACTGTATTGTTCAGGTACCTCATCAAATTAGGAACTGGTATTTCATATGTTTCCGGTGGAGCTTTCTTTATTCAACGCTAACAATAGTTCTGAAAACAAAAATTAAAGCTCAGACCTCTGTCAATAATTACAGGAGTGACTATGAGCAAATGAATGCGTTAAATAGGCTACACCACATAGCCCTCCGTAGGGGCGTTCCGCTTGGGGTACGGGTTCTCAGGTTTATGAAATTTTATACATCTAAGAATACTTGATGAGACGCGTCCAAATGTTTTACTGAATGAATTCCAAAAAACACGACCGCTCAGGGCACAAGCTAACAAGTGGTCTTGCTGTTGGTGCTACAAAATGCAAGAGATTACAATTGACACAGAAGACATTTGCCACCTCCATTAGAAGGCCAGTACTTTATTGTACGTCACGTTGATGAATTTTGCTAGCGAGCCTTAACCTTGCGCTTCGAAAACTCCGTGGGGTGCACAGATAATTCTTCTGATGTGTTTGGAAGAACATTTAGAAAAAACCATATCAACAAAGCAGCGCTCCATATACCGACATACCATGAGTGGAATCGAGGCAGCAGCAAAAAGGAGCAATTGGATTATGCCGTAAAGTAGAAATTTTTTAGCATGTGCATGACTTAGAAAACGGTCAGGATTATTTTACGAAACTTTCCCTCGTACTGGTATATGTATTAATTAGGTAAGAAATCTTAAAATTTTATCTCTCTTCATTTTATGTGTAGACATTATTAAAAAAACTATAGTAACCAAAGAAGAATGAAAACAAATATACTCAGAGGATCTATAGTTCTAAGAACCCAGATTGTTATTGAAAGAATTTCATTGGTATAAGACAGGCAGCCAAGAAACAATTCGCACTTCGACACCTTTGCAATCAACTTTTGAGTCGCTGCTATTCTACTCTCATTGACAAAAGCAATTGACGCCAATTAGTCTTCTTTGCTAAGCTTATTTGTTTTGCACTATGAAATTTAGAGTTTATATCTCAATAATTGGATCGAAAATTAGTCATTGCTGTCATCTATCATAGTTGGAATGTCAATAGCCCTTAAAAAGAACATGTATTACATTTGTAAGAAAAAAGCAGCGCTATTTATTAAAATTTCACCACTGTGCATTGCGTTTGTGGCTATATGTATCGGGCACTAACTTCGGAATTCACTCTCGAAAGAACATACTTTGAAGACTTCAAACACTGCAAGCAAGTTTGGCATTTTCATAAAAAGTGAGCTCGAATATCTTTTTCACCTTCTTGTATTTTATAAGAAAACACGTAATTCCCAACACTTCGCAAGACCTAATATCAACATCGCAATAAATCTTCACAACCTCTGTTGTTGCCACCTTCAGTGAGGAGATGCAACATAATACTAGGGTATCTTTGTTTTGAATAGGATTCTCCAACCACTTTTCAATATAACTTCACACAGCTTCGATATATTATTGGTCTGGTTTTTTTTCGCTCTTCTTCAGAACAGAAACGATGAGGAGATAAAATGTGGCTGTATCAACTCACCTCATTATACATAACTTTCTAGTGTAATTAGAAGTAATTATTGCATACCACATTTGAAAAACACCTTTCGGATCATAAATTTCGAAAGTAACCGTACCAAGACTCATTTATGAGCTGCTTTATTGTAAAAAAAACTCGAGTGATAAATATGTGGGACAGCTGTATTAAATTTGGTTAGTCTGCGCCATACAGGAACTTTAGAGAGAATTTATTTGCCGGGTAGATTTGCTCTCATTTAGGTGAAGTTATAGTCACCATGAGCACTGAAATTTGTTGCTAACATATGGTGCAGCAATATGCACTCGCTGTGCGCGCCGTCATTATCATACCTACTTAATAGTAACGCAATTTTATCTCAATATTTCTCCTCCGTGAAGTCGATTCTCATGCTTCTGAGCTTCTCCACCTTACAACGACATGAGAAATCATCTCTTTCGTCGACCACCACTGTTTGGCTGCTTTCCAGCATTCTCACTGACGGGTGCAGTCATAAAAAAAACAGCTATTTTGTTGCTACTCCCAAACATTTTCTACCTTCCCGCTATACTTTGCGCACCTCCCGTAGACCATGCTACCCCCTAACCCCCAATGTATCTCAATAAAAAAGTCATTATTTTCAAGATGCCCACCGTCATTTTCGCAACATCCAGCAACTTTTCTGGTACCTTTGATGATGGTTTTCAGTATTTGGAAGTGCTCGTTACAGTAAGAATACGACTGATGTCAGCTGTGTATGGATGCGTTTATTGCTGTTATTTCGTTGCAGATAGGGCCATTCTGCATAGAAAGGTATTGCACGAGTAGGTACATCCATACACCTAAATTGCAACGAGAAAAATAGTTATAAATTGATGAAAGACACTCAATATAAAAAGCCTGCACAGTTAAGTGAACAAAGTCCGTTCCGCAACTTAAATAACCGGAGCATTCAGCATGGAATGGCCGATGGCGTTCCGCAACTTCCTCAACAGACAACTCGTGCCAGGAGCCTTCAAGGCCATTAAA